TAATTGTTCTAACTGTCAGGAAGTTTCTCCTTAGTTCTAGGTTGCTTCTCTCCTTGATCAGTTTCCACCCGTTGCTTCTTGACCTGGTTGCTGCCACGTAGCAGGTTGAGTTCCTGTCACTCACTCCAGCTCCTGCTGACCCAGCAGTTTGAAAGCGGGTAGATATATGGGTGCCACTTCAGTGGGCAAGTTAACAGGGACATAATGGAGCCCCCAACTGGGTTTCCCCCCCCTCCCGAGCAATGATGACGTCACGGGCTAATCCTTTCAACTCAGAAGCACTTCCAACATAAGAGCAAGCAAGCAATACTTTTGAAAAGTTTTTTGAAACATGGTAATGCGGCAGAAGCGGGGAGACCATCGTTTGTTGTTAATGAATCCACCAATGTTTTTTTTTCCAGCGTTGTGACATTCACTGCTAGCAGCGGTTCTGCTAAGAACTACCTGAAAATTCCCATCAGCGTTATTCCTGAAACAGCATTGGTAAGCCTGACATTTTATTCACGGCGATTTAGTCCTTACTTAATCCTGCAGGAAGAATTCTGTTCTTTTCCTGCTTAAGACCCCCGATTGCCAAGGACTCATAATCTGATTTCTGCAGCATCTTATAAACTGACAGAATTTCTTCTGCTAGGTTCAATGCTTGCGTTTACCGTGGCAACAGTGTATGGTAGCAGAAACTGGCCCAACATGGAGACCGATCAAAAAAGCCATCTCTTTTATATAGGTAGTCCTTGACTTATGACCACAATGCAGCTTAAAATTTCCATTGCTAAGCGAGACAGTGATTGAGTTTAGCCCCATTTTACGACCTTCCTTGTCACAGTTGTCAAGTGAATCACTGCAGTTTGTTAAGTTAGTAACACAGTTGTTAAGGGAATCGGGCTTCCCCGTTGATTTTGTTTGTCAAAATCAGGTCAGAAAAGGTAATCACATGACCCCAAGACAGTGCAACCATCATAAATACCTGCCAGTTGCCAAACATCCAAATTTTGATCACATGACCAAGGGCATGCTGCCACGGTCATAAGTATGAAAAACTGTTGTAGGTCACTTTTTTCAGAGCCGTTGTAACTTTGAACTGTCACTAAATGAATGGTTGTAAGTCAAGGACTACCTGTATGTATACCCTTCCAAGGGGAGAGTTGAAAAGCATGTTTCCATCCACACATATACATCAGGGTACAAATGTAGAAGGAAGTATCCTAATGTTAGTCATTTCTCCATTGCTGGTTAACCACATGCTGGTTAAACATCTCTCAGTGTTTCTCGACCATGGCACTTTGAAGATTTGTGGACCTCAATTCCCAGAATTCTTCAAACAGCCATGCTGGTTGGGGAATTCTGGGAATTGAAATCCATACATCTTCAAGTTGCCAAGGTTGAGAAACACTGCAAGTTCAGAGCATCACCCAGCCTTCTGTTATTACTGGGGTTTTTTTTTATTTATACTTCACATTTCTAAACCACCCATCTACCTCAAAGAGGGGCTGTTCCTTTGGTATGATGGTTAGATGATTCTAAAAAACAAATTGTTATGGTGAAATGAGCATAATGTAGACAGAGGGATAGTATAATGTAGGCAGAATCAGAATAGAGCCGGAAGGGATCTTGGAGGTCTTCCAGTCCAGCCCCCTGCTCGAGCAGGAGACCCTACATCAGTGATGGAGAACCTTTTAGAGTGCCCAAAAACTGGCCCCGCCCCCGCTCCACCCCCCTGCCCGCCCCTGCTCTGCCCCCTCATCCCCCACCCCGTCTGCCCACAGGACCACTCACCGCCTCCAGGGCCCACCGCAGATCGCCCAGGCAGCCCAGCAGCGCTATGGCGGCCACACCCTCTGCCCATGCCCTGCAGCATCAACTGTGCACAATGGGGTGCGAGGGCAGAGTCTTGTCTATGCTGCCTGGCTGCCATGTCCTTGGTTGCGCTGCTCCGTGTGGGCCACGCTCGAGGGTGACTCTCCTTCAGGGGGGCTGCTGGAGAGGAGGGGGTCGCGGGGAGAGGCAAGGCTGGGGCAACGGCATGTGTGCCCACAGAGAGGGCTCTGAGTGCCGTCTCTGGCACCCGTGTCATAGGTTTGCCACCACTGCCCTATATCACTTAAGACAAGTGGCTGTGTAGTCTCTTCTTAAAAATCTCCAGTGACGAAGCACCCACAACTTCTGAAGGCAAGCCGTTCCGCTAGTTAATTGTCCTCGCTGTTCGGAAGCTTCTTCGTAATTCCAAGTTGCTTCTCTCCTTGATTAGTTTCCATCCGTTGTTTCTTGTCTTGCCTTCTGTTGCTTTGGAAAATAAATTGACACCCCCCTCCTCCTCTTTGTGGCAGCCTCTCAAGAAAGAGTCAGTGCCGTTCCAACCAATGCAGGTTCTAGGGTTCTCAGGAAGTTGGCTGAGAATTCTGGGAATTTTAGTCCTGTGGTAGAGAAGGAGTGACAGAATCCGGGGGCAGAGTTAAAGGAAGGATCAGCCTCGAATCCCTACGTGGCCACAAGCAGACTAAGTCCAAGCCCCTCCTCCCCCATGATTCTGTTGACCCTTATCTAGCTCCAAGAAGGTGTGAAGCGTTAGTTGACAAGATTCCTGTGCATTTGGGCATTTTAGCAATAAATCAGTTTACTTAGACCAGGGGTCTTCAAACTTGGCCCTTTTATGACTTGTGGACTTCAACTCCCAGAATTCCTCAGCCAGCATGGCTGGCTGAGGAATTCTGGGAGTTGAAGTCCACAAGTCATAAGAGGGCCAGGTTTGAAGACCCCTGACTTAGACCCTCGCGTGTGGACCTTGTCTTCTGTGGCTTGTACCTATGACAGTGGTGGCGAACCTATGGCACGGGTGCCAGAGGCGGCACTCAGAGCCCTCTCTGTGGGCACGCGCACCGTCGCCCCAGTCCTAGACCTTCAGCTTGGTTTTATAAAACCTTTTCACTTTAGGCCTCCGCCGCCNGAAAAAAAAGATCTTGTAAAGTTGGAATTGATTGATTGAACGTTTTAGTCCCACGCAGTCTGCCGTTACCACCACAGCCACGCCCACCCAATGGGCCACACCTACCCAATGGGCCACACCCACCCGGCACCCAACGATGCGTAAGTGAGTTTTGGGTTGCAGTTTGGGCACTCGGTCTCTAAAAGGTTCGCCATCACTGACCTATGAGATCCAGGGTCTGCCGTATTGCGAAAAGGAATATCTACATGTCCTTCCACTTGCATTTTAAATGAATGTACTCATGTACTATGGCTTTATTACTAACTAACACATTTGCCATTCAACAGGCGACTGATGAGATCCCACCTGTGTACCGTCTCAAAGAATTTGTCATGCAATGTAGGGGCAACTTCCAAAATGTGCCAGAATGCTATCATCATAAATGGCAAATGTCATTCACTGCAGTAGATGCCCAAAGTGCCGTCACCGTCAAAATCAGTGCAAATCCTTCTGGCCTCACTTGCACCCCAAAAGAAGGTGATATGAAGCATATGGTGTGCGAATATAGGTGCGTATACATCCATTGTTCGGGGGGGGAGGAAATCAGTCATAAAATCTTTTTCCCATCTGCGTCAGCAATCACCCAGTCTCGTCCAACGTCTGCATGCCAGAGCTTCAAACAGTCCTGAGTTATGCCAGTGCAAATTGCTGCATCTCCAGAGGTATAAAGTCTAAGATGCTTTGTCAGCTATTACGCTGTGGCCGCTTTAACAATAGCAATAGCACTTAGACTTATATACCGCTTCACAGTGCTTTACAGCCCTCTCTAAGCTATTCTATTCTATTCTATTCTATTCTATTCTATTCTATTCTATTCTATTCTATTCTATTCTATTCTATTCTATTCTAGAGTTTACAGAGTCAGCATATCCCTCCTCCCCCCCCCATTTTACCAATCTCCGACGGATGGAAGGCTGAGTCAACCTTGAGTCGGTCAGGATCGAACTCCTGGCAGGGAGCAGAGTCAGCCTGCAATACTACATTCCAACCACTGCACCACTGAGGTTCAGTTCTCCTTTCTGGTCCTCAAGTACACTTTTTCTACACCACTGTTCATTCTCTCCCCCCCCGCCCCCCCGGCCAAAAACGAGGAGAAGAGCTATGGGGGCCACAGTTATTTCAGCAGGCTTGAGAGGGCACCAGCTTCTGAAAGATCACTTTTCTCTGGCTTCATTATATTCTCTGGAAAGTGTGTGATTAACTCTGTTTCAAACCTCTACACCAGTGATGGCGAACCTTTTAGAGACCGAGTGCCCAAACTGCAACCCAAAACCCACTTATGCATCGTCAGGTGCCGGCTGGGTGTGGCCCATTGGCTGGGTGTGGCCTATTGGGTGGGCGTGGCTGTGGTGGTAACGGCAGACCGGGTGGGACTAAAAAGTTCAATCAATCAATTCCAACTTTGCGAGATTTTTTTTTACCCGCGAGAAGTTGAAATTGACTGATTGATTGAACCTTTTTTTTTTTTTTGCACACGGCAGCGGAGGCCTAAAGCAAAAAGGTTTTATAAAACCCAGCTGAAGGCCCAGGACTGGGGCGAGGGCGCGCGTGCCCACAGAGAGGGCTCTGAGTGCCGCCTCTGGCACCCGTGCCATAGGTTCGCCACCACTGCTCTACACTTTCGCAAGACTGCCCAGCAAACTTGAGAAGGTGTGGAGTTTGAAAAGAACATTAAACCCATTTTCCTCAGTTCAAAAATTTGGCAGCTCCTACCGCCACTGTCTTTCATCTAAGGAGCCTCATCTAGCCTTCTTCTCACTAATTGGGGTGTTTGGGAGAAGTAAGACTCCCACAATCTCAGTTAGTCTCCAGCATTTTTTTTTTCTTTTTACGATCCTGTAATCCAGTGGTTCTCAACCTATGGGTCGCGACCCCATTTGGGGTCGATCGACCATTTCACGGGGGTCGCCAAGCAAGGCTGTCCGCCATTTTTTTTTTCCCTTTTCTGGCGGGTGCCTTACCTCCCTTGAGCTGGGCCAGCTGGTGGTCGGCCTGTTCCGTCTCTGCCGCTTGCCAGCTACGCCTCGGCCAGCGCAGGGGCGGAACCACACATGTGCGGTGCTCCCGGGCAGGGAAAGTCCTCGACTTATGACCAGTTGGGTAGTCCTTGACTTACGACCGGTTTAGTCCTCGACTTACAACTGGTTTAGTCCTCGACTTATGACCGGTTGCGGGTTGCGGCATTAAAAAGGTTGAGAACCACTGCTGTAATCCCTTGCTTGGGGTGGGGTCAGGGCAACTGAAGGGAGCTGAGTGTTTACTGGCCAGGATGCTCTTCCTGACGCCTAAAGGGAGTACGCAGAAGATATTTTCTCTTTGCGCCCTGATAGAGAAACATCTATTGCTGTCTAGGATTGAACTCTCAACCTTCTGAGTGGGAGGCGAGCATCTTCCCCTCTAGGCCACCATGCTGCTCCAGTTAGTCTCTAGCAATGACTGCTTAAAATGATGCAAAGAAAATTAAAATGATTGCATCCCGCCCTGAAAATAAAAACTAAATTTCCTGCAGTTTTAAACATAATGCTTGTCTACGTAACACAAATTTCAAACTTGAATCTTTCCAATTCAATTTTACTTGAACTTCCTTTTGTTTTCTGTGAAAGTTCCTTTAATCTGAAGCTGAAGGAGAACACTAGACTAGACTAGACTAGACTAGACTAGACTAGAATAGAATAGAATAGAATAGAATAGAATAGAATAGAATAGAATAACAAGAGTTGGAAGGGACCTTGGAGGTCTTCTAGTCCAACCCCCTGCTCAGGCAGGAAACCCAATACCATTTCAGACAGTCTCTTCTTTAAAACTTCCAGTATTGGAGCATTCACCGCTTCTGGAGGCAGGTTGTTCCACTGGTTAATTGTTCTAACTGTCTGGAAGTTTCTCCTTAGTTCTAGGTTCCTGGAATTGGGTATGTCTAGCTTAACGAAGAGAAGGACGAGGGGTGACATGATAGCAGTGTTTCAATATCTCAGGGGCTGCCACAAAGAAGAGGGAGTCAAGCTATTCTCCAAAGTGCCTGAAGGCAGGACAAGAAGCAACGGGTGGAAATTGATCAAGGAGAGAAGCAACCTAGAACTAAGGAGAAACTTCCTGACAGTTAGAACAATTAACCAGTGGAACAACCTGCCTCCAGAAGCGGTGAATGCTCCAACACTGGAAGTTTTTAAGAAGAAACTGGACAGCCATTTGTGCGAAATGGTATAGGGTTTCCTGCCTGAGCAGGGGGTTGGACTAGATGACCTCCAAGGTCCTTCCAACTTTATTATTATTATTATTATTATTATTATTATTATTATTATTATTATTATTATTATTATTATTATTATTATTATTAATCATCGCACATTCAGCCAGATGTTCAGACTGGATTTGGCATTTTGTCTACCTATCGAGTCCTTTCCCAGGACCTGGGATATTATTATTATTATTATTATTATTATTATTATTATTATTATTATTATTATTATTATTATTATTATTATTATTATTATTATTATTATATTGCTTCTTTCCTGGTCTAGTTTCCATCCATTGCTTCTTGTCCTGCCTTCAGGTGCTTTGGAGAATAGTTTGACTCCCTCTTCTTTGGGGCAGCCCCTGAGATCTTGGAAAACTGCTATCATGTCCCCCCTCGTCCTTCTCTTCATTAAACTGGACATACCCAATTCCCAACTGAGAACCAGGTTGTTCTAGCAGTTAAGACACCAAGCTAGAAACCAGGAGACTGGGAGTTCTAGCTCCGCCTTAGCCATGAAAGCCGGCTGGGTGACTTTGGGCCAGTCCCTCTCTCTCTCTCAGCCCAACTCATCTCACAGGATGGTTGTTGTGGGGGAAAGAGGAGGAGGAAGGGGTATTAGGTGTCTTTGCCTTGAGTTATTTATAAAAGGAATAATAATTACGGTGAGATATAAATACAGGTAGTCCTCCACTTACAACCTTTCATTTAGTGACCGTTCAAAGTTGCAACAGCACTGAAAAATAAGATTTCCTCACACTTAAAAACCGACGAAGCAACCTCACGGTCACGTGATCAAAATTTGGTTGCTTGGTATCTGGCATGTATTTACAACAGTTGCAGCATCCTGGGGTCATGTGATAACCATTTACAACCTTCCTAGCTGGCTTCCGACAGGCCAAATCAATAGGAAAAGTCAGATTCTCTTAAAAGACCATATGAATCACTTAACTCAGGGATAGGCAACCTTGGTCCCTTCATGACTCGTGGACTTCAACTCCCAGAATCCCTGAGCCAGCCATGACTCAGCTTGGAAACCTCTCCCTTTCCCCTCAGCATGGATGGCTCAGGAATTCTGGGAGTTGGAGTCCACGAGTCATAAAAGAGCCAAGGTTGCCTACCCCTGACTTAACTGAAGTGATTCGCTGAAAAACCATAGGGAAAAAGATGGTAAAATTGGGCACGACTCATTTAACAACCACCCCTTTGTTTAACCACACAAATTGTGGTCTCAATTGTGGTGGAAAGCGGAAGACTACTTGTAAATGTAAGTGCAAATAAATCTCAGCTTTCGCCTTCCCTGCCCTGGACTTTACAACATGACACCCCAAAGCTTGTTTTGTCCCTTGCCTGCCTTACGAATGTGCACTATCCACTTTTCAGCACACAATATCCCTCAACACTAGCAATATCCCTCAGCCTTTATTATTGGTTGAGCTTCTTGTTATATGTAAAGAACAAGCCGAGTAATTAATCATTGATAAAAGCTTGCATGCTATGCTGGTTATGTGCTTATTCCCGAGGATTTGTGAAAACCAACAGGCTTCTAACCATTCTGAGGTAGACTAAGAGTGCCCTCTGGAGCTTACAAACTTTCTAGCAAAAATAGAAAAGAAAGATGCAAAGAGATGGCAGTCTTTATTAATTTAATCTCCAGCTATGAAATATCTTTTTCCCAGGGGAAAACAATCCAAAATTAGAGTAATGCTTTTATTAATTTGAAACCAAAATTACAAAACACAGAGATTCACCACTATTACAGAGATTTTAGCCAGATCTTTATTAGGTAAGCAGTAGCAAAAACTGTTGGTGCTAAAGCACACAAAATGTACAGTTATTAATATTAGCTAATATTTAGGACAGCGCATGTATTAAGTATGTTTTAATTTTATTTTTCTTGTTTTGAAATTCCAGGTTTTTTTTAATTTATGACAAATTTATTTTAACTCTCTGTTCAATGCAAAAAATCAAAGCAGTACCATTTTATTTTTTTATTAATAACAAAAATAATGTCAGTAGTTATGTAATAGAAATCCTACATACGTTATAAAGATTGAAAGCAAACTGAACATAATGGGAGAGGAAAATTAGGAAAAAGAAAAAATGACTATATAATATCAATATGAAATTAATTTGGCCCTTAAACCTATGAGATCTACACTATTTAGAAAAAAAATATTGCTCCATCTTCTCATTTTTAGAATAGATCCATAATTCCAAATAATAATAATAACAATAATATCATAACAGTATATTGAATCCATTCCTTAACATCAAGAGAATAAATTTCTTTCCATCCATGTAACGTTACTAATTACTGACATTACAAATCCCCATCTTATTAAAGCAATTCCTTATTTTGAGAAAAAATGACATTCTAAATTCCCAGTTATTACTAAACTATAATTATGAATGTAAAGAAAAAAAATATTAAATATATTAGTAGCGGATAATTGTATCGACTATATTTAAATTTAATCTGAACAAAATTTCATTTTTGTCATGCCCTGACTAGTTATTTTCGAGGCATCCAGTTCAAACTCCAGTTTCAGTCCTCAACCTGCAGAATGCTAGTCCATATTCTCAAAATTGTTCCTTTTCTTTCTCCATGGATCAAAGTAAAATAATGTATGTTTTCATTTCAAGGAAAATGTGCCACCTTAAGAAAATAAGTACAGGTCATTCTCGACTTACAACCACAATTGGGAACCACAATTTCTATTGCTAAGCATGGTGGTTTTTAAGTGAGTCATGCCCAAGTGTATGACCTTTTTTGCCACTGTTGTTAAGTGAATCACTGCCGTTGTTAAATGAGTCACGCAGTCATTCATTGAAACCAGATTCCCCCATTGACTTCGCTTGTTGGGAGCCAGCTGTCCCAGGCACACTGCAACCATCAATAACTACAATGCCGCATACCCAGGGTCTAAATTTTGATCACATGACTTTAGAGATGCTGCAAGGTCATAAGTGCAAGGATTGATTGTAAGTCACTTTTTTCAGTTTTGTTGTAACTTCGAACAGTTGCTAAATGAATGGTCGTAAGTAGAGGACAACCTGTACTTTGCACTGATGAAACATGTTAACAGTGGAGTCGCCTTGGTGAATTGGTCATGCCCTCTAAATCTTTCACTGCTTGCTGAATTCTTTCATTCTAGCGTCTTGTTTTTAGTCCCCATTCAGCTTGTAGCTATCCAAACTCATAATAATAATAATAATAATAATAATAATAATAATAATAATAATAATAATAATAATAATAATAATAATAATAATAATAATAATAATAATAATAAAGTTGGAAGAGACCCTGGAGGTCATCTAGTCCAACCCCCTGCTCAGGCAGGAAACCCTATACCATTTCTGACAAATGGCTGTCCATTCTCTTCTTTAAAACTTCCTCCTTCACTCTCTCCTGTTATTTATCCGCCTTGTTATTTTTGCTCCCCTCTGTAGGTCAACCTGCTGTGATCCTTTTGTGGAAGTTTTGATGAGTGATGAGGATGGAAACACAAGCAGTTTCACGATGGGCTACAGAAACCCTACCCCTACGCCTATCCCTCGTCTTCATTAAAGCATTTTACCCTCTACTCTTTAGTCAAAAAAACTAGACAACCCATGAGCCTGGGTCAAAGATAAGAGATATTTTCTTACCAGATTCCTCAATGTCATCAACCATGGCAGATGTAGGAGATGGCCCAGCTAGAGGAAGGGGTCAAACGTGTCATCAATCATTAATCCCTTTGGGACCACAAGAGATCTAAATCCAGCCCACCTTGAACTCCTTTGACTCTTATC